TTTGGGTATAGGCAAAGCGATAGTTCTTCTTTTGCTATAAAGTAAGCGACCTCAAATTTTTTTTTTGTCAAATCCAAGTCTTTACTATTCATGGTTTGAATACCGGATAAAATGTCTGTTTGCCGCATTTCCTGCTGCAACTCGTTTAGTTTTTCAATTCGATCGCACAAATTCATGCCTCTCGTTTTCATAAAAATCTCAAAAGCCTTCTGATGAGACATTCCCTCTGCATGCGTGATTGCAGAACTATGTCGCAATCGACTACATCCTTTTCCACAGCTCCATTCCGGAGTGTAGCCTTTTAAAATCTGAATTTGCGATGCATATTCTCGGCATACTTTGCATTTTAGCGCTGTAACTATTCCGTCAACGCTTTCAATTTCAAGCCAATCATTAGCATTATATTTTGCAAGCGTAGAGACTTTCCATTTATTAGCTGTTTGTAATTGTAGCTTTCTGTCATAAGTTTTTAGTTTTTTCTCAGCGGGTGTTCCAGATACTAAGTTTCTTTTAAAAGAAATAAATGTTTGACGCTTTTTGTATGCTTTCATTTTAAGATTATTTTTAAACTTACCATTTAATTTCTAAAACTTTAAAACAAAAACTGTTTCTTTCAATTTAAATAGTCACGATGATTTCAAAATGAAGTTTTCCAATGAATCACAAACTTGCTTTGTTCATTATTTTTCAGACAATCAAAGAAATGTTAACCTTTCTAGTTATTAATTCATTTTATTCAAATGAATTCGCTTTATTAAAATAATTCTTTTACAGTTAATAAACTTTCGAACTGAAGACTGTTACGAAATCAACGCTATGTTTATTCCACCAATCAAAAGCATTATTAAGTTATTTACAATAAACTTCGCGCTTCTTTTTAATTACCATTTTTAATGTGAACTAAAAGATTATTATTGGTCTAAAAACTTGTTTAATTCAGCAATAATGAACATATTTTTTTTAATGCTAATTTAATAAATTTAAGATTCTTTTTTAAATGTTAAAAAATTTTTTATTCTAATGAGTAACATGCAATGTAGACGATCAAATTTGATCGGCCATAATTAATTTTGGGAGTTCAAAATTTCATTTTTTCCAAAAGTCGACGATCATTGATCGTTGATCGGCCGTTATTTCGAGCGCTGTATATATATATATATATATATATATATATATATATATATATATATATATATATATATATATATATATATATATATATGTATATATGTATATATGTATATATGTATATATGTATATATGTATATATGTATATATATATATATATATATATATATATATATATATATATATATAATATATATATATATATATATATATATATATATATATATATATATATATATATATATATATATATATATACTTACACACTTAAATAATCATATACATAAAATTACAATTAAAAATTTGTGATAAGAATACAATAATATTTTAAGAATTCATGACAATTTTAATATTTTTTGAGCTGGTTCTTTATTTGAACGAGGAGTTGAAAGTTTACATAAATTGTTTAAAAAAATGTTTGAAAGAATACTTCCGTGATGTCGCTGCATCTCAAAGTTGTAAAACTCTGATATCATCATTAGAATATTGCTCAATGAAACTCTGCATACTTTATCTTTAATCGTATTAAAAATTATAAAAGAAAAAATTACCCATTGACAGGTATTATCTGTGGGAATATTAAGTCCACCACGGTCAATTGAGTCTATGTATTGTCCAAACTTTTGGTGGTAGAAAGTTGTTTTTTCTAGCAGCTCATTTTCTGATAGTTCATTATCTTTACGAGTTGAATATCCTGATATGTATATAAGTGCCATATTTGTATCAGAAGAAATAAAAGATTCAAGATTTGGCAGGTTGTCAAATATCTCAGCAGAGGGCTCATCCAATAAAAAACCACAATTTGGACAAGAATGGGTTGTATCAAGACATATGTCAACAGCTGGGTTATTAAGAGATAGTAAAAGCTTGGCTCTTGAAATATTCAGATTTTCAATTACCTGCTGTACTGTTATAAAATATGTACCTCCGGAACCATGTCGCAATTTGCTAAATTCTTTTTCCAATAGATCAGTAGAAAACTCACTAAGAATAACATATTGGTGTGAGCTATTCAATAATGAACGACATAATTCAACAACACCATTGCATGTATGGTAAATTGATTGTGCAGTGTCACAAGTAAGTTGTTTCTTCTTTTTACCTTGCTTTCCAGCCATCTTTAAAGCCATATTTCCGAAATCTAAAATATTTTCTAATCTATTATCATTAGGATCTCTAATAACTGCTTGAAGTTCATCGTTAAATCTAACATCTGCACCTGTTCCTTTAACATTAAGAACTTTCCACCATGATACGACAATGTTAATAAAATCTGCTGTGTCTTGTCTTTCTTTATATGCTGCAGTCCTGGATGATTAATCAAAACATGGTAAGTTTTGTCACAAAATATCCTTAAACAGGTAGACACTGACTGCCTCTCGATTGGCTTCGGAAATATTGAAACTTCGTTTGAATTACACAATTTAACTAAGTTTCTAGATTCAAGTTCATAAAGTTTTTTCAGGTGATCCCATTGAGCTACTTTTTGTACCCCTTTATCATAAAATATAAGTTGACCAGTTTTTTCAGTTAGCCAATTATTTCTAATGTTTTTAAGCAAATGTACATAATCAAAGATTAAGAAAACACCATCATTAGTCAACCAAGGTTTACTTGGAACTGTGAATTCGAAGATTTTAAAAAAAGCCTGATTAATTCTATTTCCATCACATATTATGGCTTTGACTTGACCCGATGATTCCTTTATTGATTGGATAGTAATGCTAATTTGTTCGAAAAGAAATTGAGAGTTTAATTTATTTATAGGTATCATTTTGGAAATGAACGATGGTCCACCGAATAAACAATTAACCATTAAACCCAATACAGTTTTTGCAAGAGAAGTTGAATCATCCATTGCTTTTCAGAACAATGTACCACCATGATATAACAACATTTTATTAACATAAACCTTGTCATGCAATAACAAACAAATTTTCTGTTTTTCTTCAATAGATTGAAAAATATTAGTGAAAAAAAGTTTTTCGTTTAATTTAGAAACTTTTGAAGTTATTCTTGTCAAAGTTCTTACAGAAGGCAATTGGTAATCTGTTCGTAATTGATTATACAAACTTCTGGATGTAGCAAAATACTGAAAAGATCTAATAATAATTTCTTTAGAATAAATCTTATTTCCAACACACTGTGTACCCATAGAAGCTAAATGTTCTTGAATTACAATTTCTTTTCTTCCAGGAATCAAACTCTTTAAATAACGTAGGACTTCTTCTAATATTGACCATGCATTTATTTTTGAAACTCTGTTTTTAGAAATTGTAGGAATTTTAATTTTGACTCCATAGTGATATGTTTCAAAATGTAAATCGTCTCTAATCTTGATTAAAAAATATGGAACCCCATTTGAATAAGCTTGTGATTGCAAATGAATAATGCTATTAATCATAAAACATACTGATGGAACACCCAAATCTCTTTCATTACATAAAAGAATTTCTTTCATTTCAGCTAAAGTTACTCTATCTTTTTCTAAAAAGGCTGATAATTCATCTTGAGCAAAATTTCGAATACATGAAGAGGCACTATTTGTTGAACGTAATGGAGGAGGTTGAGTGGGAATTTGACAAGACAGTATGCCTTGCCAAACAGATGGTGGAAATTTAAGACGAAATTTTCCTCTAACTTGTTGTTTTTCAAAATTTATTGGCCAATGCAACTCACAAACTACAGTGTCATTAGTTACCTTTAGATTTGCATTTGGAATTACTTTAATTAACATTTGTTTTTCATCTTCATTTTTAGGAAATCGATATACTGAGATCTTTAAATTATCAGATTTCTTTTTAGCCGATAAATAATTTGTGGTACAGCCATAAATACAACACTTTTTACCCATATTTCAATATCACTAAAATGGCGATTATAGTTAAGTACAGTTTAAAATAGGCCCCCAGTGAAATACGTTTTTTGCGCGTTGGCAAGGCCTGCAGTATAGATCGCCGTGACTTAGAGATATATGTCCCCCTCACATTATACCTTGCATTGAAACATTAAGAAAGTTTAGAACAGGTAGCAACTAATTCAGGGTAAAATGTATACAAAATAAAACAACCAATATATAATTTTAAAATCTTTTCTTTTAGTCACTAAGAGCTGTTTTGGAATGGAGCTATCACCAGATTTTGGCAAAGACATCAAAGATTTTGTAGCCAAAATGTGCAACTTAGAAAACTTAAGAAATCTTAAGAATCATACAAATTACTCTGGGATAGAAATTCCACATAATACAAGCCCATTTTGCTTTTTTTATTAAAAGAAAACAAAGATCCTTGGGTGTTTTTAGTGAACAAACTTCTGAGTCTGTACACAAAAACATAAATAAAACAATGACAAGGTTTTCAACATCAGAACTTAATAAATCACACAGAGAAGAATTGATGAAAATGGCAGTCTGAGAACTAAGAGTCTAAAGCATGAGAATTTTGTCAATTCAGACATTTTCTAATAAAAAAAAAGAACATGTATATGATTTATTTAATGATATTTAACTACATACAATATTAAAAATTAATTAAATTTTTAAATCTTGCCAATTTGCTATTATATAAAGATGTGTATTATATAAATTTTATCTTACTATTTTTCGTTGATTATTAAGATATAAAATTTTCTAAAAGTGTTATTTATTAAACATCAATAGATTAAAGTAAAATTTACCAATGCATTAACTAATGTGTTTGCAATAATTAGTCATACTACACATGTCAGTGCATATTGACATAGTCTAATAGTTTGCCATATATTTTTCCATTACCATGACATTCAACCTAAAACGTCTATGTTGATACAGTACCTTTTAAATTTGATTGGAGATTAATATTTGAAAAATTTGAATAATTAAAAAAAACAACAACCTTGAAACTCTTTTTCGAGGCAACTTGCTGTAGATTTTGCTTTATTTAATCGAGTTTCAACAGCTTTTTGCTCCCTATTATAATAAAGTAAACATACATATATATGTATATTACATATATATGTATATTAAGTATATGTATATATATATATATATATATATATATATATATATATATATATACATATATATATATATAAATATATATATATATATGGTGGGCCAAAAAAAAAAAATTTTTTAATTTTTGATTCGCTATACTACAAAGAACTTGCCTTTAAGGTACCTAGATAATGGAAAAAAAAATTACATAAAAACTTTATATATGGCTTTAAATATTTAAGCATAAGCGCATTATGCTTAAATATTTAAAGAAGTATTTGCTTTTTAAAATTTTGTAAAAAAGTTTGCAGTATTCCAATGCACTGCAAACTTGATGTGTTTCCCGCTACAACAACTCATTTTGATATATTTTTGTTTTGATTGTTGGATAATATTAACCAATCTTTCATAAAAAATTTTTAAAAATTTTTAAAAAATTTTTTACTTTAAAAAAAAATTACTTGTTGCAAATTTAACTGTTGATTGTCTGGTTATCTAATCAATGTTTTTAAGTGTTTTAAACACGGGATGGAAAACTAGTGTCATTTACACAATCAAAAAATATGTTTTGGTGGTCGAAAATCGTTTTAGTGGTCAGATCAGCATGCAGCTTGATAAGTGTGAAAAGTTATCAGTGGTAGATTGGTTAGTATCGATTGGGAAATTTCAGAAGTTTGATATAAGTTCTGCTATTAAATCAGGTAGTCGCTCTCAAGATGTCACATTCAAGATGGTTAACAACTGCAAATAGAATTTTGCGATTCTATTTAAGTATTGAAAATCCAAAAGAAGAATACAAAATCTCAGTTTCTTTTCTTTCAAAATCATGTGTTTATTTTAAACGACAAAACTGTCAAGATTCCTGCCCACTGATTTGATGAAAGTAATAGATCCTGTAATTGAAAGAAGTTTTTTAAGCAAATCGTACTTCTAAATACTGTCAGAAATTAACAAAACATAAAGAAATATAATTCTTTATGATTAACAATTTTAAATATTTGGAAAGATTAGTTTTTAATAAAAAAACGATTTCTTATTTCATTTATTTGCAATGCTTGTTCTACTTAAATAGGAACTATTTTTTAAAATTTCATTTATTAAAAAATAATAAAAAGCAAATAATTCTTCAAGTATTCAATCATGATGTGCTAACTCCAAACTTTTTTGCTGTATAGCAAATCCAAAATTAAAAAAAAAAACATGCACCTGCAGATATGTTATAGCAATTAACAAGCAAAGAATAATAGAAAGAAATATTAATTTGACCTTTTACAGTTTGTGTTGGTAGGTCGTCGAAGTTTTACACCACCAAGATCTAAGGAAACGTAAGATTCAGTGTTAGCAGACTCTTGCTTACTATCTAAAATTAAAATTATTAAAAATAATTTATAATAAAAAAAAAAAAAAAAATTAAATAATTACTTTTAAAGTCATTTGTATATTTACAATTATGCAGCAACATAGCAATAATATTTTAATAATTAATTTAGTTAATAATTGGTACCATTATTAACCATTTTTTTAATTGATTTATTTATTTTCTAACCGACTTTAGAAAATGTAAACTGAGTGAGGGAAAGATGAAGATAGGACTTCTAAAGTATTGTATTTGAAGTGAAAAACTAGATTTATAAAAGATTTTTGAACATGGAGGAACAGTTAATGTAAAAGGATGCAACTTTGTTAAATGATGAGTCACATGAAATTGAGTTTAGGTAGAACAAGAGTTTTTAACAACAATATTTAATACAAGGATAAATAATAGATTTTTAGAGCTATAGAATGAAATGAGGAGTAAGAAAGCGGAAGCACCATGCTGTCTTAGAAGAGATATCACATTCAAGATTGACTGCTTTTTCTTATTAAAATATATGACTATAGTTAAAATTTTTGACCAAAGTATAATAAACCTCATCTAGCAAAAAGAGCCACTTTCAGGGTAAGATAATTGGGAAGATCATTAATATAGACAAGAAACAACACAGGAGTGAAGATGACCCAGCGTTCATCAAAGTCAGGAAACAATCTAAAGCAGGATTAAAAGTATGCCAGCCTAATGATGAAAAAGAAGGGCCTACAAAAAATTTCTGCTTATCCTTAAAGTTTTTGACAAGGAAGTTTTCTACAAAACAGTAGCCCAATTTTAACATCTGCCAAAAATAAATATTTTTATCAAGACTCTATCTCTTATCTAAACTCAACCATAAACTCTAAGGCAGGGTGTATTTTAAGTCAAAATTACAAGGTAACGGGTGTTAGTGATAACCTTGATCATGACCTGACCTGTATTATTTAGTTTTTTATTATTGATTATTTTTGTAACCGGTAAACTAATTGGTAGCAGCATCAGTATCAGTCTTTTTTTGTCGATAGGCATCAGTATTGGCATTGACCGAAATATATATACTCATAAATATATATATATATACTCATAAATATATATATATATACTCATAAATATATATATATATATATATATATATATATATATATATATATATATATATAATATATATATATATATATATATTGACTTTAATATATATCAGTACTTTAGACTATTGTAGACTATAATAGTACTATTGTTTTAGACTATAATAGTACTATTGACTTTAATATATATATATATATATATATATATATATATATATATATATATATATATATATATATATATATATATATATTAGGGTGGTGCTTAAAACAACTTTTTTGAGAAAAACCTGCTGGTACCCCCCTAAATGTGTTTTATCTAATACAAAAACACTAGGTTTAAAATTTTTTTGAACAAAAAATATTTTTAGGGGTAGCTCAAGGCCCTCAAAAATTTAACGGGTCCCTAATATTTTGAAAAAAAAACTTTTTCTAAAGTATGTCAACCTGGTACTCAAAATAAGCAAAATTATATAAAAAAATTAAAAATGAAAATAATTTTTTATAAAAATAATTTTTTCAGGTATAAATGCATAAAAACTATTGTTTTTAAGCTAAAAATGAAAAAAGTCAATATTTTCAGGTTTTTTGAGAATAATTTTTTTAGGCATGTTTTTTATGTAAAATGATTATTATTTTTGAAGTTTTTATATAAAATCGCTTCTTTTGAGTACCAGGTTGACATACTTTAGAAAAAGTTTTTTTTTCAAAATATTAGGGACCCGTCAAATTTTTGAGGGCCTTGAGCTACCCCTAAAAATATTTTTTGTTCAAAAAAATTTTAAACCTAGTGTTTTTGTATTAGATAAAACACATTTAGGGGGTACCAGCAGGTTTTTCTCAAAAAAGTTGTTTTAAGCACCACCCTAATATATATATATATATATATATATATATATATATATATATATATATATATATATATATATATATATATATATATATATATATATATATATTGATGTGAGCTTATGGCATTATTGACACCCTGCTTTGTCTTGAAAAATTGGTTTGAAAAATTGAATTGACATCTGAGTGGGTCCCAGTAATTAGCGGTGTGTCAAAGGGCTCGGTTCTTGGTCCACTGCTTTTTATCTTATTCATTAATGATTTGCCATACAACATTGTACACCATATAAAACTTTATACCGATGATGGTAAAATTATCAGAGTCATCAAATCGCTGCAAGATGCCATCCTTCTTCAAGTAGAACGAGACCTTGGGATTATTATTTCTGATGATGAGGTCAAAACTCAAGACGAAACAGCAGTCTCAATTGCAAACCAAATGCTTAATCATCTCCAAAAAGCTTTTCATAGCCGTAGAATAGTTTTATGTAAAACACTGTACCTTGCATACATTTGTCCACATCTAGATTTAGCAGTACAGGCTTGGTATCCTCACCTAAAAAAAGATATTGCAATGATAGACAAAGTCCAAAGGCGTGTAACGAAAACATCTGAGATAAAACATCTACCATATGAAAAAATATTACAAATACTGAAACTAACATCACTTAAGGATCGCAGGGAAAGAGGTGACCTAATCTAACAGTTCTCACCAGATTGATGAAGTTATAATCTCCATGGACACAATCATCAACTTTTGCCTCAACTAATCAAAAGTTGCATTGAACAAGAAAAGTTTTTTACAAATAGAGTAACAAAATGATAGAAAGCTCTTTCATAGAAAGCAGTTAACTCACCTGTACATTTCTTTAAAAAATTTGACCAGCTGCTTTGAGCGGCTTACCTGTGTCAATATAGAGGAGCATGATGTAGATCTTCTTCATTGGTTTAGATGTATGTACATAATGTAATGTACACTTACATTACAATATGTACATACAACTGTTTTTGTACTCATCAATATAAACATTTTAAGACATGGGTTATTTAATATACACTTGCATTTATATGGACCTACTAATTTTGAAATAAAATAATGATACTAATATATATATATATATATATATATATATATATATATATATATATATATATATATATATATATATATATATATATATATATATATATACATTATATATATATATATATATATATATATATATATATATATATATATATATATATATATATATATATATATATATATATATATATATATATATATATATATATATATATATATATATATTGAACTTTACCGATGGCAAATGCCGATTGTGGCTAAAAATAGGTTTAATGTATTTATATAAGGGTGTTATATTAGTATTAAGAATTTAAACTACATAATTAACATGCACCTATTCATTAGAAGTGATTCAACATTTTTAGCTTATGCCATAGGCAACCAATTAATTGGCTTAACCATTTGCCAATTAATCGACCAATGGCATCGGTTAATTAATCAGCTTTAGCCAATACATCGGCTAATAAGCCAAAATAAACGGGTGCATAGGCACACCTTATATATGCATATTGCATACCTAATATTAAGATATTACCTTTATATATATACATTAAATCCTATCATTAGCCTCAATCGGCCTTTGCCGATGGCACATCACTAATATATATATATATATATATATATATATATATATATATATATATATACATATATATAAATATTAAACTTGCCTTTGAACACCTTGTTTAAGTTACTGTCTGATGCATATGTAAAACTACTATGTTCAGATCTCTCATGCGATGAGCAGTTAGGTGATAATTGAAGAGCATCTATAGTTAAAAAATTAAAAAAGTTAAAAACTTTTTAAATTTAAATTACTTTTTTCTATTCTTATATTATTATGCTATATAAATATTTATACCTGTATTTTTCAAAACAAATAAAAGTATACAAAATGCAAGACTTACTACTGACTGCTTTTTTTATGTTAGCTAATGTGAAATTAAATCCACTTTTGTTCAAAAATCTTTTATTAAACTCAAATCTATTTTGATTGTCAGATCTAACATCAAGATCAATATTGTTATGCTCTTCATCAGGAGATCGAGATTCCTGGTAATAGTTTTGATAAGCAACTGAACTAAACAAGCTGCCTAAAATTTTAGAAGTATTAATTGAACTGTTCGGATATAAGCGAAAGTCAGGATTTATTAAACTAGTGTCTTTCTCTTCTATTTCTAGTAACTCAAGTAAAGCTCTCTCTTCGGGATCTACACAACTGAAACTGTGATTTGTCATTGTGGAAATAGAATGGTCAAGCATGGCTGTTGAAGGAGGAATTGATAACAGACTTTGTTCATTTAAACTTAAATCATTAAGGTAACGAATAGGATCATGCTGTTGCTGCTCATCTACATCATTCATATTACACCTCTCTTCATCTTGAACATCATGCTCTCCTTCATGCAGATAATCGTCATTTTCTTCAATAGTTCCATCACTTGTGTCTGATTGATCTTCAAGATCCTACAAAGTTATTTGAACTCTATTGATTATTAATATATAAATTTATTTTTTATTCGCTTAAATCAAGTTTAATTTTTAATTATAAATATAATAATTATTTTATAACATTATATATGTAGAAAATTAAAAGAAATAAAAAATAAAGAAAATATTACAATTATATTTTTACAATATAGTGAGATAATTAACCTCATAGGGATTATCTTCATCAACATCACTTCCATCAGATGAAGAAATTTCTTTTTGAAAGCTTGCTTGAATATTAGATAAATCATCATTTTCATGTTCTTAAAAAAGGAATTTATAGAATTTTAGGAATAAAAATGTATTTATGTATTTATGTATGTATGTATGTATGTATGTATGTATGTATGTATGTATGTATGTATGTATGTATGTATGTATGTATGTATGTATGTATGAATGTATATATGTATATAAAAAAAACAACTACTAACTTTGCTGTTTTTCAAATGAATTCCTTTTTCCATTTGAGCTATCTCTTTTACTAAGTAACCTTTGTTGCTTGGAACCATCTTTTAAATGACACGGAACAAGTGATTCATTTTCTAAACTTTGATCAATTGATTGCTCCAATAATGAAATAAAACTCAAATCTATAATAAATTAACAACTTTATATATAATTGAAATTTAAACGAAACTAAAAATAGTTTATTAATAAGTGCTCTATTAATTATTTTTTAAATATTTAAATTTGGGTTATGATGACAATGATAATGATGATAATGAAAATACTTAGTTCATTCAAACTCTTAACGATGGATTTAAGTGCTATAGCTATTCTTCAGAACAAGTTTAGTTACTAGCAATTTCAAGCATTTTAGTGTAGTTACCGCTAAGTGGAGGCAGTATTACAATTACCCAAAGTAATTAAAAAGATAGTAAAATAATTACTATTTCATTTAAAATGTAAAATTCAACAAGTTATTTAAACTAGTTGCAAAACTTAGTTTGCAATCATTTGAAACAAACAGTTTGAAATCATTTGAAACAAACAGTTTGCAATCATTTGAAACAGTTTGCAATCATTTGAAACAAACAGTTTGCAATCATTTGAAAAAAACATTTTGCAATCATTTGAAACAAACAGTTTGCAATCATTTGAAACAAACAGTTTGCAATCATTTGAAACAAACATTTTGCAATCATTTGAAACAAACAGTTTGCAATCATTTGAAACAAACAGTTTGCAATCATTTGAAACAAATAGTTTGCAATCAATTGAAATAAATAATTTGCAGTTTATTTGAAACAAACAGTTAATTTTGCTGTTGTTGTCAAAAATGAATGGAAGCTCTAATATTATTGATGTATTGTTGAATGCTATTAATGCTATTAACATTGTTAATAAAGATGGAAAATAACTGAATGAAGTCAATAACTGGTTATGGAAAAATTAAAAAGCAGCAGCATATTATTGATAATAATAAACAATATTGCAATTTATGCTTGTTTTCTATTAAAAATGACAAAGTACAGAAAAGTCAATTAAATTCATTTTTTTGACAAAAGCAGTTTTTATCTATTTTGTTTGAGACTATTAGTAAACATTGTAAAACTGATTGTCTTGCTTTTCATATTTTGCTTATTAAATGATGGAATACCTGAAACTTTTTGACAGTAAGTATTCTTAATACTTAAACATATTCTGAAAGATTTATGATTCTTATTACAAAAATCTTTTAAAAATCTAAGACCATGAGTATCTTTGTTCTCAAAATCTAAGACCATGAGTATCTTTGTTCTCAAAAATTAACATAGCTTAAAAAAAAAATTAGCCTAGCTATAAAAAAATTGAAAATTTTATTTATTCTGCTAATTTCTGTTGCAAGCAATATTTTCAAAAGCTTTTAATGTTTTCCATCAACTTTTTTATTCTGAAGAAAACAATGCATTAGGATCGTCAACGATTCAATAAACTTGGGTTAAACTGATGTTGTCAGTAAGTTCAGCTCAAAAACAATTAGTTTTTATTGTTCGTACTAATAATCTTGCTCAATTAACTTAACTCAATGCTATTTAAAAATGTTTAAATTGACTCTATGTTATTTAAGAATGTTTAACTTAAATCTGTTATTTAAGTATAGTTAAATTAACTATTTGTTATTTAAGAATAATTACACAGTCTACAAAATCATTTAGGTGTACAAGTAGAAAAACATTTGATTGTTAATAATAAAACATTATTAAACATTATGGTACCCATTACACATGTAACAATTTGTATTAAAATATTTATTAAATAATTCTTATTAAAGTTTTTACCATTATTAAAGCTTATACATTTACAATGTAATGTAAACTTAATTCAAAATTATACATTTTTTTGAGTATATACCATTATTTTTTTAAATTTATGAACATTTTTATAAAGTGGCCACCTTCCTAAAATCTGGTTGGGGAAAAGGGGTAATTCTGAATTTTCAACCTAGATACAATTTGTTTTAAAATAAAATGTTATTTATTAAAAATTGTGATATAAAAAAAGTAAAATTTCAGAAAAAGTTACTAAAAAGCTACTTTAAAAAGTACCAATGTAGAATCTTTTAAAAGTAGAGTTTTAAAAGGTTTTTTAAAAGTAGTTGCTTTTGATTTTTTTTTAACATTAAACTGATGTACTTATTGTACATATATGTATTATAGTTAGAACAGTTATAGTTAGTGTTAAGATTTGATTTTCATATTCTTTAATAACTTCTTGTTTGGTCTATTTACTTGACAACATTAATTCATCTATGAGTTTTGATCATTAAAAGCTTTAACAAAAAAATTCAACAATTATATACTATATATAGAATAATTATAACAAATTATATATTATATATAGTTATATATAATTATATACTATATATATAATTATATATAATTATATATAATATATAATTATACTAATATATGACTATATATAGACTAGTGTTCTCTTTAAAACTTACCGCCTGCAGCTTGTACACGTGCTGACATAACAGCAGAAGCTGTTACTGCAGCACAATGATTTCTTGAAAGTTCAATAGCTAATCTATCTTTTAATTCATTAACTTGTGCAATGTATTGCTTTGATTGTGACTCTAAGTATGAAATATGCCTAAAAAAAAATCAAAAGTTTTCAAGATTATTATTTTTCTATATCTCATTTATAATCATTTATAATTATTTTCTATATATATAAAAATACATAAACTTTTTTTTCTAATAAATGTTTCATATTTTTTGTTCATAAATTTTAAATTTGAAAGTATGAGTTAAAACTTAAAACTTTTTTGTATACAAAAATATTTGAAAAATTTAAAAAAATAAACTTTTTATAAAATACCATTGCTGATCTCGGCACTTTTGATGAAAAGTAGGAGCACGAACTTGAAAGCTTAACAAGATATTGTCACTTTCTATATTTAAATAACCTTCATTAGCCTAAAAAAACAACAAAAAAACAGCAATACGTATCTAAAATTCTTTGTAATATTTATTCTTTGTCTAGAATTAGTTGTCTAAATTAATTGTCTAGAAAGTACAACTTTACAATAACTTTTTTTTTAGAAGCAATAGTAAAAAGTATAAAATAATGTGCTTACTAACAAATCCAGTCGAAAGAAACGATTGTAACCCCAGCATTCCCCAACTTCAAAATCAGAAGCTGTAGAACAAATTATTAAAAAAAATCAAAATAAAAAAGATAAATAAATATTGTTAAAATTATATTTTTAAATTTATTTTCATTTATTTTTCCCTTACATATGTTGTTTTCACACTCATTCAGTCAAATTGCATTTTTTTGTATACAAAAAAAGATTAATGTGAAAATAATGCCAGAATTAATGAATTAAAGTATTTAAAATATAATGGTAAAATGTTTTCATACTTAAAAACTATTTATCTACAAAACTAAATTAATTTCAATTAAAACTCAACTTAATTCTTCTTCAATTAAAAAATCTTTTTATTACTGATACATGGTATGAATGCATAGTATGAAAACTTGTTTTATTCTTACTTTGAGACTCTTTATTTTAAAAACAAAATTTCAGAAAACTTTCAATTTTTTTTTTTATTGTTTACAATTCTAGACTTACTTTAATAAAATTTTGACATTGAATTTTAGAATGCCACATTTTATCCATAATGGCTACCTTAAAAACCTAAAAAAATTATTTTCAACTAGAAAGTTAATTTTAGATGGGTCACTATACAAAATCTGCAATTTAAGAAGTGAAAAGACATATTCTTTTAGTTTGTATATATGATAAGCTTCCAAATTTTTAGAAATATACTGATAAAATACAACTCAGTAAATTCTTCTTCAATTAAAAAATCTTTTTATTACTTATACATAGTATGAATGCATAGTATGGTTATCTAAAACCAAACACATCTACAAACTCAAAATTTCCAAATATATTGTAACTAAGCAGATATTCTAGTAATGAATATACCCAAAAGTGATGGTTACAAGCAAGGCACTCTTGTTTAGCATTTAACTAACATCACATTTTTTTGTGAGTAAATTATTCACACATCTTCATTTGTTCCACTACACAACTTATTTCATTTTTCAAAACATTAACTTCACATCAAACAGACAAACATAATATGATGTAAATTTATTTGATGTAGATTTAATACTTTTTTCTTATACATTTTTATTTTAATGAAGTAATTTAAAAAATATTTTATTTTATTTTTGATATTTGAGAAATTTTCAATAGAAAAATACTACCAAATAAAAGATTTACTAATTCTAATTCACATAAATCTCATAGTTCTTAATTACAAAACATATGATAAAATGCTATTTAACTTGCAAATAATGCCACAGCTAACTTGCAAATGATGCCTCCCAGCGGGCATTTGTTTTTAAAAGTTAGGTTCTAATTGTATTTTAAATGTCTTTTAAATGCCTTCTAAAGATTCTTACATAAAGAATGTTTAAAAGACGTTTAAAAGATATTTAGAACATAAATTTTAAAAACAAATGCCCGTAGGGCTCAGTTAACTTGCAAATAATACCTCAGTTAATTTGTAAATAATGCCTCAAGTCTAATGTTATTGATATTACAATAGTGATTAGAATATTTATGTGAGTTTTTCAGCTTTTACTTTTTTACTTTTTTTAGCATTATTTTAAGTTTTTTTTATAAATTAAACTCCAAGTAATATAAAAACAAAAATAATCAACACTTGATATATTATTACTTATTTTATTTTTGGTTCCTAAAAATATTTGAAGAACTCAAATACTTTCAGGGACCAACAACAAACACATTCTTATTTTCAAAATTTGGGATTTTTTTAAATCTATTCTTCAAATAATTTTCTAACTTTCTAGAAACAGCTTATGGACAACACTACAGTGTAGCTATTAATTGAAGTTTATTTTACAAAATATATATTTTATTAAGTTTTATAAACTTTTACTTTACAAAAAGTAGTTTATTCAAATGCTAAAAAAAAAAAAAAAAAAAAAAAAAAAAAAAAAAAAAAAAAAAAAAAAAAAAAAGGAATATACCGAATTCTCTGACAATATTTTTAGAATTATCTTGACATAGTTGATGAACCATCTCAACTCTGTATTCATATCTATTAAAATGAATAAAAGTTCTCATTTAAGAATTTGTAAAAACATAACAAGGTCGCAGTTATCATAAATAAATAAAAATTTAAAGCTAAAAATTAAAACCTATAATAATTAAAATAGAACCATGTAAAAAATTAGAAACCATAAATATATAAAAAAATAAAGTTAAAAAATCCAATACATACATAAAAATTGTAAACAATTTACTTTAAAGTTTTTAAAAATTCTAATAAAAAAATATACACCAATTTCATAAATAAATTACTTAGATGTTTCGGGAAGACCTGAGGTTAACTCTAAAAATACAGATAAATAATTTCCTCTCACAACACCATTACCATCCTATGCAAACACATGAAGAAAAAAAAATTAAAATTAACTTTTTATATAATTTCAATATTTATTTGTGTTATTTTAAAACCGAAATTCAAACATCAAAAATTGAATCATAAAATAATTTTCATACAGGATAAACTTTGAGCCTCCAACTGAGACCATTAATATTTAAAGGATCACTGTAAACAGGATCCCCTTTTTGACGTAATTTACTGAAGCATTGTATACTAAACATGCTTGAATCATATGGTGGAACGATTTCACTAAAATTAGAGTAGATATAACAACAGAAATTAAACAAATACTTGGAATTTTTTAACATTGCCTTATGATGTTATCTTACAGTAAAATGCTAATAGCATCAAGAATAAAAAAAAAATTAACCTATTAAAGTCAGCTGGAATGGAGGCAGTAACAAATGAAGCCATTGGTTTTCTGTGCACCTAAAATTAAAAATCACATTTTTTAATTTGTTCAGTTTTTATGTTCTTATGTTCTTTTCTTCTGATTTTATTTTGTGATAAAAGTAAATAATAATAATAATACTACAAAATTACATTATTTTTTTCAAAAATTCAATAATAAATTAAGGTAAATAACGTAATAACTATTTTAAGATTAAATCAAATTAAGAAACAATTTTTCAATAAAAAGTTGTTTTCCGGATAATGTTCAAAAAGAGTTGAATGTTTCCTGAAAACACTTGTGAATGGATTACATATACTTGTTAAAGATGCAAAAAAAAATTTCATTTCTTTTGACTCAACAAAAGAAGAAAATGAAAATAATTTTTTTTAGTGATGTTTTACGATGTTTTAAGCATATTGTTTATTGACCTTAGTTGGTGTAAAAAATTTGCTTTATAAGAGTTACTTTTAACAGGTACTTTGAACAGCTAAAATTAAATTTTTCAAAATTGGTTTACAGCTATGCAACACAATATAAGAACAACAAATATATACTGTAATAGTGTGAGATATTTTTTCAAATTTTAAAAACTAAAATTTATTTAAAATAAAAGAAAAAAACCATATAAATTTATGATATACAATAAATATCTATAGATATATGAGTATAAAACCAGATTAAAATTAAGACAAAAAAAAAAATTAAAATTCAAAACATGATTTGGGTCATTCCACACCAAGTGGATCAAGGTCTATAATGGACCATATCAGGTTTTAATGAAACTCAGTGGGTTGGTTTATATCAATGAGAAAAGCAGTTCTTGAAAATTATAGCATAAAATCTTTTGTAGTTTTGTGGTAAACTTCTGATTTTTCCAAAGATAAAAATCTTAGTAGCAAAAAATGTTTTGTACTTTGAAAACTTGTTTTATTTTTACTTTGAGACTCTTTTAAAAAGAAAATTCCAGAAAACTTTCAATTTTTTTTTATTGCTTACAACTCTAGACTTACTTTAATAAAACTTTGACATTGAGTTTTCGAATGCCACATTTTATCCATAATGGCTACCTTAAAAACCTAAAAAATTATTTGCAACTAGAAAGTTAATTTTAGATGGGTCATTATACAAAATCGTGAAAAAAGTGAAAAGAAAAATGGATCTAGCTAAAACTTAAGACATTATACCTTCACTTCAAACGACCGCTAACCTAGGATCAACACTGATTTTAATAAGAATTTTTTTTTCTACTGATTTAGAATTTATTACAGTGATTTCAGAAAAAAAAAGTGGTTATTCATGGGTTAGTTACAAAATGAGAACAAATAAATTTGCAAAAAATGCATTAAAAACAATGAAAATCAAGACATTAATGTACTTTAGTTTGTATTATATATTGTTATACAAAATATGTATATGTTCAAAAGTATTTTATAATCAGTACTAGAAATAAGTCTAAGCCGAAATTTAACTCAGTTTTTAAATTCCATTTATTTACTTTTTTAACATGAACAATTTTTTCAAAAAAATTGTAATTGAACATATCTCCTTACGCAGTGTGTCTGGTTTATGTCTTTTAAAAATAAATAGCAAGTTCATCATTAGAACTTACTTGATGTTGATTTAGATATAATGATGCACTTTACACACTTACTCCTTTTTTTTTTAAACACAGGATAGAAATAATCAGCTTTAATCAGTGGCAAAAAAAAACAAAAAAAAAAAAACAACACGAGTTACAGTAAATTTTTCAGTGGATGATTTCATTTAAAAAGCTTGTCAACAAATAGACCAATTAAAAAACCATCACTACATAGTCAAAAATCAAGCAGCATATTTGCAGCATCTAAGAACAACACTACCAAGTAATCATATTTTAGTAATACTAGACTTAACTGAAAATTAAATTTTTTTATTTCAATATGCAGTAAAAGGTTTCCATTGGAACAAAAGTCAATCAAAACTGCATCTTTTTGTTATTTACTATATGAAAGAAAATAAGGTAAAATGTAATAGTGTTTGTACCATCTCAGATAATTTGCAACACAATACAAACTCAGTTCATTGTTTCATTTATGAAGCAAAAAAAAACATTTAAAAGATACTTTACTATAGCCATAGTATTTGTTTTAGTGATGGCGTTCATAAGATAGTGATGGTGCAGGTTCAAAATACAATAAGTTATAAAAACATTTATGCCACCATGAACAAGTTTATGAGGTATCTGCAGAATGGCATTTTTTGCTACATCACATGGAAAGAGTGTTTGTGATGGCGTTAGGGGCTCTTTCAAAAAACTTGTAAACAGCCCATGTTGTACTTGTAAACAGCCCATGTTGTACTTGTAAACAGCCCATGTTGTACTTGTAAACAGCCCATGTTGTACTTGTAAACAGCCCATGTTGTACTTGTAGCACGGGTTAGTATAATCATTAGCAGATCTTATCAATTCACATAAGAAAATATATGATTAGTGTGGACAAAATATCAAAGGAATACATTTTCAATAGATTTCAAATGATGCAATTGTATTACTGTGCATAACAGTTAAATTAGAAAAATGTTATGCCACTTGTTCAACAATTCCAGGAACAAGAAACCACCATTGTTTTACACCAAAATCATTAACTACTTTACAGATAAGACAAGTGTCACTTGAAAATATATATACTCATGTAAATGTTTCTACAACGCAGCATGTTTCTTATTTACCAGGAAATAATATAGCATGTGTTTATGATGCAAAATGTTTTAAAGGCAATATTGTGAAAATATCTAAAGAAAATCAAGATATATTCTTATCAAGTTCATGAAGCAGTCTACCTCCTTAAACACATTTACTTGGCCACATAAAAAAGATATGCGCATTATAAGATGCAACTAGCAGCTCAAGAAAAAATTGAAATATTAAAAAACTGAAACATTTGTACAATAGCATAAAAAATAATTAAATAAAAATATAGCAAAATTATAAAAAATTTATTTGTTTTAAACTTTTATAGTTATTAAGCAAAAATTGATTTTAAAGCATAATTATTTAAAAGATTCAATGTTTATATTTTTTATTACATAATATTTTTTATTATACAATCAACTTGTGTATTGTTTTGAAAAATCAAATAACTCTTTTAACTTGGTATGATTTGTAATCTAAATTTAAACATGATAATCAGGTCAAAGTCAAATAAATGGGGAGGGGTGGAATAGTGAAGTGATTGGAAAAAACTAGGCAACTTTCTCTCCATTTTTACCTAATAAGCTACTTACAAATTTTATATGCAGTCTTTTTACTAACTAACAATACAAACTCAATGTCACAGCTTTTAAATGTGTATGTTTAGTAGTGTGTTTGTGCATAAAAAAACATCATGCATCACACATAAAACCAGACACACTAAGTAAGCAGAAATATTTAATTAGAATTTTTTTAAGTTCTGTGCATGTTAAAATGTAAAAAAATTCATTCAAGTAAATAAAAAATTCTAAGTAGTGTATTACCAATTTACTGATTTACTGGTAAAGAACAAACCAATAACTCACCCTTTTGTACGGATTGCCTTAGTCTTTATGCATAGTATTTCCATGAGAAAATTTTTTTTTAATAACTCTATTATCATAGTTAAAACACAGTATCGTTGACTTTATGAATAGAAACTTTTTTCATTAGTTCATTAAAGAAAATAATAAATAGGATGGTTTCTTGATATACACCACTTTAATAGGTTCATTAGTTGATTTGATGATTTCAATACCTACAGTTGGAGTCTAGTTAAATACTGGTACTGGATAACATCAACAACCATAATAGGTGCTGTAATTTTGAGCCAACAGAATATTCACAGAGAAAAGAAAATGTAAGGATGGTTAAAAGAACTTTTTATTAAGTTACATTTTTTGTTAAGAATAACAAACCTGTTGAAACATTTGTAACAGTTCATTGCTTTTGTTGATTAAAGAATTTTTTGTTGAAATTCGCAACTAAATAAGTAATAAATAAATATTTTAAATATTTATATAAATAATCTTTACATTTACATATTCTTTAAAAATATTGTAACAAAAGTCGCATAGTAACTTAAAATATTGTACTTATATGAAAGCTGAAAACTGTTTTTTATTGATGCAGATACAGATGCTTACATATTAGAAACATAAAAAACTAAAATTACTAAACTCAATAAAATTTGAAAAAACACTTGGAGGGTCAATATAGATTCTTGCTTAATTAAAAAAAAAAAAAAACTTTTTAAAAAAAAAAGAAAAAGAATTTACTAAAAATGTACTTAAAAATTAAATGGATAACAAGCTTGTGGACGAATAAACAATTATAGTACACAAACATTACTGATAAAATTTTTAATTAATATTTACTTGATGTTCCACTTCCTGAAGCAGTGATTCTAACAACTCTGTTTCTTGGGTTAATGCATTCTTTTGACCTAAAATTAAATTCATGAAAAAGTTGTAAAAACTGCTATCTTCAAATGAAAAAACTAGAAACAGTAATTAAATCTTTCTGACACTTTATTCATCAGATTGTTGTTATATTAATACTCATCACACTAACCAGCTGTAGAACAACTGACCACTAAAAAAAATAACACTAAAACTCAACTTTTTTTTCCTAAAACCTTCTTACTATTATTAGCAAACAAACATTTACAATGTCATCTAGATTCTAACTCTTGATAATCGATACAATCTTCTCATTCTACAGCTTGTTAATGGTTATAACAAAAAGGTTTTATTTGCATTAGATGGAAAGAGACATTTGTCATAATGTATCAATAGATTTTGATAAAGTCTGGTATGCTAGTTTTCTTTTTTTTTAAAAAACTTTTAAAATGTTTTCTGCTAATAACTATTGTAATGCTGTTGATATTCCTATTTTGATGAATGGATAAATGTTGATGAATGGATTAATGAATCTTGCCCTATTACTTAGTCCTCTATATTATGTCTTTTCAGATTATTTTTCAATAATGATCTCTGAAGGAAAACATGGAAACCATACAATCTATTGCATAGTTAGTGTCTGCTAAGGTTGCCTCTCTTTATCATGCTTGCCATTACTTCATTCTTACTCCTAATTCCATTATAACACTTTAAATCTCTTACTCACCTTTTTATAGAAAACTGTTGTCATAACATAATTGTCTTTTATTGTTTTCTAATAATCTAATTTAAATCTTATTGATTAATTTAATTTATTTTCAAATTAATGCCTTGAACTTATTTTTGTTTTTATGTTTTTTTTAATTTACATCTTGGAGTTTTTTTCAAGTCTTGTGTCAACCATTTTCTTGTTCTTTAATGTTTTTCTTTGTTTTCTAGTACCCAACTCCCTGCTCCTTGCTTGAAGGCTTACTGACAGTGAATTTGTCCAAAAAAGATTATTGCACAAATAAGCAAGCAGTTTTTAAAGTCACAAAACTCAGTGACTGCCACACAAATTATTTTACTTTCACAATGTAAATTAAAATTTTTTATTATTAATAGCATGAAAAATATTAACTTATTTACTGTTAACATAAATCAAAAAAAATTTCAAAAAAAAAATACTAAACAAAATTTATTCCTCATTTTTTCATTCACTAATGTTAAGAAAAAACTTTTCTGACAATTGATCAACAGTATAAAAATCTGTTTTAGATTAAATTTTTTTTTTTTTTTTAATTAGTAATTTTTACTGGTAAGACGAACAAAATATTGTGTAATTAAAAGCAGCTTTTAAAGCAGTTCACAGAAAAGCAAATCTTGGAAAAAAACTTAATTTAGATTATGTGCCTCTATTTCCAAAATATACTTTTGTTGTTATATTTGATGCAGGTAATCTGCGTAAAGGTAAAGGTCTGCGGTGCTTGAACTAGTCTGAGCAATGAAAGCCCACAGAGAAATATGAAACAATTCTATTCAAAAAACTTTTGATATAAAGGAGGATAAGTAATAACAGAGGATACATAAGTAACATAAATCTTTATTAAATACAAAAAAGTTCAAATTTGCAAACAACTGACATATTTACCCAATAAACATTTTACCCATCTACTTTTACCATCTATGGTGAGTGCCAATGTTTTAACCATAAAACTGCTAGGTTTAATTCAAATTTTTTAACAACCCTGTTGCTACTACTAGAAACACTCTGAAGATAAGATGTTTTTATTACCAACAACTCGAAAACAAACCTAAACTAGTAAATATTGACTTAATTTTCTAATTATAAAAAATATACTTTTTAGCATCATTAGTGGAATGGTGGTAATTTTTGTAGCCAATATAAAAAACTTGTAATTTAAAAAGTAGCTAGAGTATAAATTAAAGAAATGAATTTCTCTGGTTGTTCTCAAATCAACTGATACTGGAATACTAAAAAAAGGAGAAAAATTTTTCTTTTCCTTCCCAGTACTAGAAAACAATGCTAAAGCCAAAACGTAGTTATGCACTACTTGCATTATATAATTCTATTAAACCATAAAATAAAAAGAAGCCCACTTTAAAATTAAATTACAACACGCACAAAACAAGATGTTTCAAAGTGCAACTATGTTTTTTAAAACATTGCAGTTGTACTTTGAAGCATGTTTCTTTTTAACTCAAAATGCTTTTCAAAATTTTCTTTCGATTCATAATTAACACTGTAGCGGAAATAATTTTTTTGGATAAAAATTTCCACCAGAAACGGTTTGTATTTTCGAAACCATGAAACATCCTACTATAATAATCTAAGTTTTGTAAATATTTTGTCGACGTCTTTTTAAAAAAAGGGAGTTAAACGGACAGGTTATAAACTTTTGGTTTCAAGATAGGTAACTTCCAGAAATACTACAAACTTTAAATTTTGTTTAATAAAAGAATAATGATCATTGGGGTCTGGGAACAATATTAACCAGAAAATTTGGGTCCCACTGTCCCATATGTGGAAGGAAAAGATAAAAAAAGTTTTTTTTTTCCAGTTTTTTAAACTAGATCAAAATTTATCAAAAAAATAATTAATCAAAAAAAATTAAACAAAAAAAAATTCTTGTCGTTTAAAAATGGTGACCAAGTAAAGTTTACAATCAACTCTATTTGGGGGGATATCAACTTTACAAGGTCATAACTTTTCAATGTTTAAAGATTTTCTTACTAAATAACAATTTTACACATAAATTTTAATCACGCCTATAATAGCCAAGTTTTTTAAAACAATTCATTGTGCCCCCGTCTTGCTCCTTTTCATTCAAGTATTTTGATTTTGGGGCCCCATTCAAATTGTAAATATTAATATGTTATTTACAAATATATTAAAAAACTTTAATTACATTAAATAAGCCTAAATTACTAAATAACAATTTTACACATGAATTTTAGTTGCGTTCATAAGAGTTTTTTTTAAAGAAAATAGTGCCACCCTCTTCCATCCTCCATTCTATTCAAATGTTTGGACCTTGGGGCCTTAATTTGAAAGTTAATATTAATATGTTAATTATAAATATAATAAAAAATAATATGTTAATAACAGTAAAAACGTTTACATTACATTTTTTTAAACACCAACCATCATTCTTATGCTTAATGTAGTTCCTTGTGGTATATCGCTAGAAAATTTTTTTTTTAACCATCTGTTAATTGTGATAATTTAAGTGATTTTAAAAAGTACTTTAATATTCTATTCAATGTCACAGTTCCTTCTTTAACTTCTATCATTCCTGATCCTTTTGAAAAACAAACTAAGCAGACTAAGGCTCTATTATTTTTGTATGACTTTTTATTGTTTGGCATTTTTAATTTTAGCAATACTAAACTTAGATTATTTTAGTAGGATGTTTCATTGTTTCGAAAATGCAAACCGTTTCTGATGGACATTTTTTTTCAAATAAATCATTGCCGCTACGGTGTGAATAGTAATGCATTATTTTTTTAAAGATTATAAATGCAACTTGAATCAAGAGAAATGTGCACATGAATCATTAACAAATGCCTAACCTTTTATTTATATTATATATATGAATATATATATATATATATATATATATATATATATATATATATATATATATATACAAATATATATATATATATATATATATATATATATATATACATATCTATATACATATATATATACATATATATATATATACATATATATATATATATATATATATATATATATATATATATATATATATATATATATATATATACTATATATATATATATATATATATATATATATATATATATATATATATATATATATATATATATATATATATATTTTATTTTTTTTTACTAATATGATTATAATCATAATTGATAATACTGATATTTATCAGTAGTTTTGTATTTTAATTTTTTTATTTATATAAATAGGTATGTATATAATATTAAAAAAAGTTTACCCATTAAAGTTAACAGCTTATTTTTGAGTTGAGTATCAAGCCTGGCAATCATTAATTCTACTGCATTGCGAATCTCTCGAACTTTCTACAATAAAAAAATCTAAAAATCTAAAATTTATTTCAATTTAAAAGAATAAAATCATTTTATAATTAAAATAAATATCCAATTTAATCAAGAAAAAAAACAACTGGTTCTGATATTAGTCACTGGTATTTAGTAATGGAGTCAAGTCTTTATACATTTATGTTTGAAAATTAAAGCATGATAAGATTAAAAAAATGAACAAATAACTTTTAACAGCTCTTTAAGGTATTTTAGTAGGCTGGTAAAAAGGTATTTTAGTAGGCTGGTAAAAAGGTATTTTAGTAGGCTGGTAAAAAGGTATTTTAGTAGGCTGGTAAAAAGGTATTTTAGTAGGCTGGTAAAAAGGTATTTTAGTAGGCTGGTAAAAAGGTATTTTAGTAGGCTGGTAAACAACCAAAGATCATGAAAACAAAAATGTGAAGAAAAGAAAGACTCACAAGAAAAAAAAGAAAAGAAAATTAGAAGACATTAATAAGACGATGTCTATCAAAGATTTTGTCACTGAAAACTTTTGTCACTTCAAAACTGCTTTAGCAAGCTTAAATAAAACTTGTTCTAAATATATGAACAATTCATTTTTATTTCAGACGGGAACCACTTTATTTTACTCACACTTTTTTTTACAAAGTTTTTTTTTTTTTTTTTTTTTTTTTTTTACAAAATTTGGTAAATCCTTTTTTTTTTGAGAAAAACTTTTTCAAGTTTAATAACTTTTATCAAATAAAATCTTTATCATTCATTGAAAAAAATAAAAATATAAAGGAAAAATAGTTACTTCTTCCTTTGCATTTCTGACACTTTCAACATTTTTTTCCTAATGCAAAATGAAAATTAAATAATAATTAAAAAATACTATCAATATAATAGTAACAATCATTATTACTATTTCATTATTATAATCTTATTTTAATAATTATTTTTATAGATATCATTGCTATTATCATAAATGTCATTAACATTAAGAAAGGCAACATACCACTTCTTGAACCAAACTTATTAACTCCATAAGTCTTCTACGCAAACCAGTTATCTAAATATGTTTACACTTTAAAAATAATAAGTTTCTAAAATTATTTCAAATAAGGATCAGAAAAGTTTCGAAATCAATTGGAAATGGTCTAGTAAACAGACTGCATAGAGACTTGTTAACACATTGTAATTACTGTATGTATTATTATATTCTATAAACTATAATAATACTGTATGTATTATTATATTCTAAAAACTAGGAAATTCAATACTGGCATACAGCATTAGTGAAAAATGAGATTTTTTTTTAATATAATAAATATTGCTTTGAAATATACAAATTAATGTACTTCTTAATTTTAAAAATTGTATTTTTTAATCATTATTTAAACAACAATATTTCTCCTTCATTCACTTTTCTAAATTATTTTATTATGTAATATTTTATTAATTGGAACCTACATTTATGTCAATATTAAAAAGTAGTTAACTATGTGAAGCAGTTACATGTGAACACATTTAACTGCTTCACATAGTTGGAATTACAATTATGAATATACAAAATATAAAAAATTAACACCAGTTGCTTATTTTTTTTCCAATTTCTCACTCTCATTCTTATGTTTAAACTGTTTGCATTAAAAAATTATTTTATCATATATAGTTACAGTAAAATTATTTTGTAAACTAAAGTGTTACTTTGTGAGCGCCATTAAAGAATTGTTGATACATAAATGTAACCCAGTGCAACCTGTTCCATGTTCTGCTGCCTTGCAGGATTTGCTATCTAAGCAAAGGCTGGAAGGAGTGTTTTTCCTGTCATCAGTACTATCTTATATCAGTCATGCCTATAGTAATTTTTTTTTTTTTTTTTTTTTTTTTTTTTTTCATAGTTGGAGGTGCCTTAGTTACTGTATTAGCTCACCTGTAATCTATGTCATATGTATGTTTGTGTTCTGTCTGAACCTCTGGCGCGGTGTTCGCTCACCCGTAAGTTACTTTATGTTCTTTATGTATGTCTGAGTTCTGTCTGAACCTCTGGCGCTCACCCGTAAGTTGATTTATGTCTATGTTTGTTTGTGTTCTGTTTATACTCTAATGCAGCGTGAGCTCAGTAACTAACTACTTACTCCAACTACAAAACATACACTCACCTTAGACTCCTGTATTTTGTTAGATGCAGTGTTTTTCCTAATGCACTTCCGAAATGTCATGCCTGGTTTTCTCAAAGTACTGTTGCGGGAAGTAACTCCTTTTAACTACTCCAGGTCAGGTCAGGAAAATCAAGATCAATCTTGCTACTGGTATCACGTAACCCAGTACCACCTGCCACAAGCCCTGCTGCCTTGCAGAGTGTGCTCTTCTTATGCAAGGGCTAGGAGAAATAAACTCCGACTAAAAATTCCCCTGCCTTGGGGCTCTTGGTTGAGTAAAGGCTAGAGATAATGTCTCGATAAAAATACTCATCTTGGGCAGATGTTAACTGCATCCTGCTACTGTCTTGTAGAAGGCCTCTAGGCAAAGACTTTAGGGGTAAGCAGAAAAATTCTGCTAACCAGCCTCGAACCCCTTCTTCATCTATTAGGCTGGCGTAGATGTAACCTGTGTTACATTGTTTCCTGCTTAGGATGATGAATGCTGGATCTCCTTGACTCTACTCATATAATTTTGCTTATGCCTCCTTGATAATGGCTATGCAACTCTTCCTGTTATCTCCATATGAGGGTACAGCTCTAAAACTCAGTTTAATGGTTCTGAGGCCGGCTGGTAGTAAGGTTTCCCGAACTCTGTGGTAGCTCTCAGAGAGGCTGATTCCATCAACAGCTGCAAAATATCAGAGTATTAACAGTGCCATGTTGCGCATGGATGGTGTCCCTGTTAATGCTTTTGGTGTGCATTGTCAAGGCCACATAAGGAGCCCTATGTCACGGCTTAGGGTTAATTAACAGGACTGAGACAACTGCATAGCTCATTGATTAGGAGGCTGTGCTCTATCTATGAATGAGTCAAGTTCTCATTAAACCCAAATCATGACCAAAGTAAGCAAAAATTTAAAACCTAAAAAACCATCCCCACCACCTAAATATTTTAATATATCTTTTACAAATATTCGCGGTCTACGAAGCAACTTTCAATCAGTTGAGTCTTACCTCCTGCAAAATTCACCAAACTTGCTTGCACTCAGTGAAACAAATTTAAGTTCTGCAATTCCTTCTTCAGATGTCAGTGTTGATGGGTACTATCCTTTGATTCGTAAAGACTCCAATAGTCACATGCTAGGTTTAGGGGTTTACATACGCATTAATTCCCCTATTTGTCGTGAAATCAGGTTCGAATCCTTTGACCATTCTTTTATGTGCTTTCGCCTAGCACCTCCTCACTCTATCACCTTTCTCTTCGTTTTTTATCGTTCTCCTTCTTCCATGATTGCACTCTTTTAGATGTTATCTCTGATCAAATTGACCATGCCCTCTCTCTTTACCCCTCTGCCAATATTGTTGTTGTTGGTGATTTTAATGCCCATCACACTGAATGGCTTGGCTCTAACACCACTGATCCTGCTGGCACTAAAGCCTTTAAATTCTGCGTTTCTCAATCTCTTACTCAGATAGTTAACTTTGTGACTCATTTTCCTGACAACCCTAATCATTTACCTTCACTCCTTGACTTATGTCTTGTCTCTGACCCTAGCTTATGTTCAGTTTCTCCCTTTTCTCCCTTAGGTGGTTCTGACCACGCAATGATCTCTGTAAATCTTTCTTCTCGTACTTCTTTTTTGGGCTCACCTTATCATTGCACCACCTACTACTACCCTAAAGCTGACTGGGATTCCTTTCGTGATTTTCTTCGTGATGGTCCTTGGGCTAATGTTTTTTCTCTCTCAGCTGACAAATGCGCCTCCTACGTAACCTCCTGGATTCAGGCTGGAATGGAAGCTTTTATTCCTTCTCGTCGGTTTCAAGTCAAGCCTCATTCTACTCCATGGTTTTCTCCTTCTTGTGCGGCTGCTATATCCAATCGTAACCATTTTTTTCATCTTTTTCAAAAGAATAACTCTCTTGAGAACAAACGGCTATTTATTATTGCTAGAAATCGATGTAAAAAGGTGCTTTCTGATGCTAAACTCCATTATTCTCAGTTCACTAAATCTCGCATCTTATCGCAGAAGTTAGGCTCTAAAGACTTTTGGAAAATCTTCAACAACATTGTTAACAAGGGTAGATCTAACATTCCATCTCTCATTCATGGGACTGATCTTGTTACCTCTCCCAGGGATAAGGCAGAACTGTTGGCAAAGAACTTTTCTTCTAATTCCACTCTTGAATCTTATGGACATTCTCTTTCTTCCATTCCTGTCAAACAGGTTGACCCATTGTTAGACATTCAAATCACTCCGGCTTCTGTTGCTAAAGTCATATCTCAATTAAACTCGTCTACAGCTTGTGGTCCAGACAACGTTCCTGTCACAGTCTTGCAGAATTGTTCTCCAGAACTTTCTTCAATTCTCTCTAAACTATTTAACAAGTGTTTGACTGAGTCATGTTTTCCTGCTTGTTAGAAAATGCCATCTGTGGTTCCAATATTCAAAAACTCTGGAGAAAATTCTGACCCCTCCAATTATCGTCCGATCAGTCTTCTTTCTGTTATTAGCAAGGTCTTTGAGTCTTTGATCAACAAATTCCTCACATCTCATCTTGAGTCAAATAAACTGCTGTCAGACAATCAATACGGTTTTCGATCCTCTCGCTCTACGGCCGACTTGCTAACTGCTGTAACTGAAAGATTTTATCGTGCATTAGATGGAGGCAGTGAGGCTAGGGCTATTGCTCTCGACATATCTAAAGCTTTCGACAAAGTTTGGCATGCTGGTCTTCTCCATAAGCTTGCTTCATATGGTGTTTCTGGGAAAGTTTTTGAGATTATCAAATCATTTCTTTCTGACCGGTTTATTAAAGTCATCCTTGAAGGCCAACACTCTTCTTTTATTTCCAGTAATTTCTGGGGTTCCCCAAGGTTCCATCCTGGGCCCTGTTTTGTTTCTTATCTACATAAACGATCTTCCTGACAACCTTTCATCTAAAGTAGCTCTTTTTGCTGATGACTCAACTTTATACTCCTGTCTTGACAAAAAGTCTTCTCTTTTCAATCGCATAGAACAAGCAGCTGATCTTGAATCTGATCTCACTTCAGTAATAGATTGGGGTTCACAGTGGCTTGTGAATTTCAACTCTAAAAAAACCCAATTGCTTACTGCAAACAACTACCGTAGTATGGTCAACATTCCTATATTAATGAATGGCAATCCTCTTACTGAGTCGTCCTCTTTACGTCTTCTTGGATTATCGCTTACTACTGACCTTTCATGGAAACCATATATACAATCGATTGCTAAATTAGCTTCTGCTAAGGTTGCTTCTCTTTATCGTGCTCGCCATTTCCTTACTTCTGATTCCATTCTCTACCTCTACAAATCTCTTATTCGTCCCTGAATGGAATACTGTTGTCATATTTGGGCTGGTTCTTCTAACGATTCACTTTCTCTTCTTGACAAGGTCCAAAAACGCATTGTAAATGTTGTTGGACCTGGACTATCTGCTAAGCTTGAACCTCTTCCCCATCGTCGTAAAGTTGCATCTCTTTCTCTTTTCTACAGATACTATCATGGTCACTGCTCAAAGGAGTTATCATCTCTAGTTCCATCAACTAAAATTCATTCTCGTTTTACTCGTCATTCAGCTAAGTCTCATTCGTTTACTGTATCTGTCCCAGCATGCTCTAAAAACTTTTATTCATCTAGTTTTTTTCCCCGCACTTCAATCCTTTGGAACTCTCTCTCATCTTCATGTTTTCCTGACTCCTACAACCTTCAACTTTTCAAGTCTTCTGTCAACCGTTTCCTTGCTCTATAACTCTGTTCTTTTTTTTCCTAGTAACTCCCAACTTAATAGTGGTTGCTTGCAGCCTTGTTGGGAGTGAATGCAAATAAAAAAAAAAAAAAAAAAAAAAAAAAAAAAATGTGAACCCTTGCTTAAAGTTAAAGTGTTAGAATTTAATACTTCAAATAAATAGAGGATTATCTGCAGAAAAACTTGTCATTTGTCACAAGTAAAAAAACTAAATAATTATAGTTTATTATTGGAGAAGTATATTGTTTGTTAAACAAATGATGGTGTTGTAATTATACAAAAAAGTAGGTGCATTAGTATTGATTACTCAGCAGTTTTTTCTGGTCTAATCAATTCAACTTGCAGAATTGAATAGAGAAAAAATCTTAACTAATAAGAAAAAAAATACAAAGCTGTTTGCAAATTAACTATTAAGTTGTCAACAACCAAGTGCTCAATATAATTTTAATAAAATAAATTTAATTAAGCGATTTGCTGAAAAAGAAAATTAGGCAATTCATAGACGTAGGTGTGGTAAAAAGTTATTTCCAACAGTATTTTAAACAATTTGTAATGTAGAACGTTCAACAAATCTCTGGATTTCTTCTTCTTAATCTCCCAAATTGACTAAATTTTTTAGTGATTTTCAAGTTCCTTGTGATTTGTAAATTTATTTATTTTTATAATTATTAAAAAAAAATTATTTTAACTTCTAAATGCGAAGCTTGAATATCTCACCATCATAAATCTTTTTTTTTTTCAACATCTTTTCTTTCTTTCTACAAATTTTACTATGGTTGCTGAAGCAAGCTTTCACATTTAACAATTGTCATTTAATAAAGTTATATGTTTTTTACTTAAATAACTGTTGCTTGCAGTCTTGACTTAAATAACTGTTGCTTGCAGTCTTGTAAAATACTAAATACTATATACCAATACTTTATTTTTATATTGCTGAAATAACAGTATTAAATTTCTACCATGTATCTAACAGAGCAAATTAAACTTTATTTTTAGCATTGCAGTTCTAATTACATCTTTCAAAGTTGGAAAATTCAAAATTCTAAAGATAGCTCAAAAAACATTTTATTTTTAAGTCATTTAGAATAAATGACTTAAAAGTAAAATAGTTTAGAATAAATATCAAGCCATGATGTGAAAAAAAGGTTTTGAAATATTGGTATATAAATTGTAGCAATGAAAAATAAAATTCAAACATATATGTTTTAAAATTCAAAACGAATATATTAAAAAAATTAGTACACAGGAGACTAATTATCTCATAAAACTAAGAGTAAAGGTAAAAATATATATATGTTCATATTTTAATGTTATCTTCCTATATTTATTTATAAAAAATTTACAAAACATATTTTATTTATTTCAAAATATGACATAAAACTTTATACCTGCTCAGTAATTTGTACAACCCTGCTTTCATAAACAACATCCAATGGTTTAAAACTATGTTGAGAATGCTGAAATTAAAAAAATAATTTTCCTTACTTAAGTTGTTTGTTGCTATTGTTCATGACCCATAATTGTGCTTTTATAATATTTTGCAAAAAGTTTTTTTTTACTCATTTGTGTTAGGAAAATTGTTTTGAAATGTTTACACATTTAAAGTAAACATTTCAATCTACAGATATTGTTTTTACAAAATAATATCTATCTTTAATGTCCTTTAAAAATACAGCTAAACTATAAAAAAGCTAAAATGGTCCATTATTGAGGTGTAACTGTGTATAAAATATATAAAGATATTATATACTATAACAAACAAAAGGGAGAGAGTTTTTAAAAAAGCTTAGAATTGTAATAAACATCTAAAATAGCAGTTTTTTTCGCATATGTCACAATAGTGATACTAAAGATATTAAAGTGCTTTGGTATTTAGTTAAGTTTGGGCGTTCAACACACATCTAACAACTTTTTGTTTTATAGGAAAAAAGATTTTACATTACAAACTTTTATTTTCTTCGAAACTATTTAACAAGAGCACTAATAAGCTGCAGATGGTCTAGAAAAAAAATTTAATAAAAACTTGGCAGAAAATTTTACAATAAGATCTTATAAAATATTGAACATTAATCATTAACTCAAAACAAAGATTTGACAGATTTATATCTAAGTATAGAGATGGTCCGTGTAGAGCAGACTTACCATGATCCATATTATATGGGTCATAGTAAATTTATTATTCCACATATTTTTAAATCTAATTCCAC